ATTTAAATATGTATAAAGTCCTCAGACAAAGGTCTACCATCTAGAATCCATAAAGAACTTTAAAAAATCAGACCTCCCAAATTTAAAGAGCCAATCCAAAAGTAGGCATCTGAAATGAACAGACATTTCTCAGACAAACAAGTAGAAATAGCAAATAAACATAGAAAAAAATGTTCAATATCACTGGTCATTCAAGAGATGCAAATGAAAACAACACTGAGATTCCACCTCACCCCAAAAAAGAAAGGCTGCTATCATGAAATCGACCAATAACCAATGCTGGTGGGGCTGTGGGGAAAGAGGAACACTGCTCCACTGCTGGTGGGAGTGTAGACTGGTCCAACCACTGTGGAAATCAGTATGGAGATACCTCCAAGAACTAGGACTGGAAGTCCCATTTGACCCTGCTATTCCCCTGCTGAGTATCTTCCCCAAAGAATTAAAAGAATCATACCACAGTGATATCTGTGCAACCATGTTCATAGCAGCACAATTTGTAATAGCTAAAACTTGGAAACAACCCAAATGCCCATCAACTGGAGAGTGGATAAAGAAAATGTGGTTTTTTAAAAATAAAATGGAGTACTACTCAGCCATAAAAAATGAGAAATTAGAGACATTCATAGCTAAATGGATGCACATTGAGGTGATACTCTTAAGTGAAATAAATAGGACACATGTGTAAATACCGAATAGTTTCTCTACTGTGAGAAATGGAAAGTGTAAATAAGAACTAAAAGGTATAATAGATAATGTGAAATAGAAAGAAAAGAGGCAAAAGGGAAGGGGAAGTGGGAAGGGTAGGGGAAAGGAAAGAAGGGAATGGAATTAATATGAGAAAATGAAAAAATGGAAACAAAGTCTTTGTAAATAGGGAGGGATGGAGGGGTTGAAGGGAGGGCAAGGGAATGGGGAAAAAATAAGAACCAAGAAAGATTATGTAAAGGTGCAAATTTTAATGATGGATGTCATTATATTGTATATCTAAAATGTACCAATAAAATTAATAAAAAATAAATAAAATGAAAAAATAAATATGTAGAAAGGGCAATGCCCAGAATGGATTGAAGCATATTGAACAGACTCACATCCATAAATTTGTGAAAATATCAAATATACAACTTTCACTGGTCATGTTTGTAGAATTTTAGAGCATCAACTCTGTAATCTGAAAACAAGTATATGGAGTGAAATAGCCTTTGATAGAAAAACTATACCTCAAGATTTTTAAACAGATAATGGAGTTAAGTTCTCTTTCTAAAAATATCTCAGCCAATAAATTAAGAAGGAAACATGGAATCAGCACATCACTGTTTTATGACCCCTAATGAAGATGAGCCTGTGTTATGATCACTAATGTGTAACAACATCACAAAAGTGGTAGAGGTGGGCGTGGCAGGAGTGAATAACCAGACATGTGCCTTATGATGAAAGTGCATAATACCATCCATAGAGCAATTCTGTGTAGAGCAAGCTGCAATCTGATCCAGCTTCTTAATCCAACTATTAATTTACAGAAAAAAAATACAAGAAAGAACTATGACTAGCAATACAATGAGGATGTATTCAACAAAATATGGGCTGTAAAAATTTTATAGAACAAATAACTAGTTTTTTCAATAATGAAATTTGCAAAAATAAATAATGAGGGGATAGAGGCGAAATGATACATTGAAAGAATTCAAAGATGTAGTAATGAAAGTGCATGGTCCTCATTCAAACAAACTCTAATTTTGTTTTAAAAATAAATCAGGAAAATCTCAAGACTGGTAGACTATTTGATAGTATTATAGAATTCTGAGGATCATATTGTGTTGATTTTTTTAAATAAATCCCTGTCTTTTGGTCTTACACACTAAAGTAGATATGGATAGAATAACAAAATGCCAAGGATTTTCTTCTAAATAATTTGAGACTAAGACAACGGAAAGAAAATAAATGAATAAATAAATGAAAGGAAATAAATGAAAAATATTGGGCATACATTGATATTTATCAAAGATGGATGTTAATTTTTTATTCTTTTTACTTTTGTATATCTCTAAAATTTTTCATATTGAAAAGTGAAAAGTAGTTGCAAAATAGTAATTTCATTAATTTGATCAATATTTGTTGAGAACCTTCTTCATGTCAGACAGGTATTGGAAGTGCTTTCATACGAAACAATTTTAAATTGGTTGAGGGAGGATCAAAGCAAGCCAGAACAAGAAAGTAAGACTTCAGCAGGGAAATACTGAGATAAAATCAGTCAATACCAACCAGAATATTTTTGACATTTTGCATATATGCTCTAGGGCATCATGTTAAGAATGATAAATGCATACAATTTTATTCATCAACTTTAAATGAATAAATAAAATTTTTAAAAGTGAAAAAAAACAAAGAAAGTAAGACTTCAGGTATGGCCCCCAAAATACAACTAGAAAGCTGGACGAAGATGTCAAAAACAACCATATCTATGTTCTGGAAATCAACCAAAGAACCATTCATTCACACACACAAAAAAAACCCTACAGAACTTAATGCAAAAAGTTATGAGGTTAAGGCTGCCTTGGCTGGCGCTTCTCCCATTATACTCTCCTTCATCAACATGGGAGTTTTCTCAAGGTCATGATGACCAGCTCTTTCACTGCTTGAGTAGCCTGAGACAATTTGAGATGAAGGTGAAAGAAAAAGCTATTTGAACTAATAAATGAGTTTAGCAAAATGGAGGTATAAAATTTTCAGACAAAAACCAATCAGAGGTCTAAACACTATGAGTGAATAATCAAAGTGAAATTAAAAAAGTAATACCATTCGTGATACTATCAAAAAATGTCAAAAGAAAGTCAACAAAAAAGACCTGTACAGTAGTAGTACCTACAAAATACTGTTACAAAGAATGAAATTGCTAAATAAATGGAGACGTTGCATACTCATAGATCAGGAAACTCAAAATTGATAAAATTACTTATAAATTTAATGCAATACTTATCAAAATACCAATTTTTTAAAGAAATAGACAAACTGATTTTAAACTTATAAAAATGCAGAGGACCTGTAATGACCAAAACAATTTTGAAAAAGAACAAAATAATTATGCTCTTTGATTTCAGAATCACAACAGTACTAGCATAGGCATAGTAGCATAGAGCAACGGAACAGAACTGAGAGCCCTCAAATAAAACCTTTTATTTATAATCAATTGATTTTTACTAAAATACTAGGACAACACCAAACTGACCATCTTTTAAAGAAATAATGCTGTGGTGATTATATACCATTTATGAATTTATACCATTATCCCCACACTACAAACACACTCAAATAACAAATGGATTAGGGATGTAAATAGAAGGGCTAAAAGTATCGAGAATAAACCCAGAGCACATGTTTTGAATCGTGAGGACCTAGATTGACAAGAGTGTGATCCTTACAAGATGATATTAATAAGACTGGAGTGTGAAACTCTGGGTTGGATCCCCAGCACTGTAAAAAGTAATACAATATTAACAAATTGGACTCCAATCACATTTCAAAATAGTCCATAAAACCACAATGAGGAACTGCTTCACACTCACTAGTATAGCTGAAATTTAAAAACCAGATTGTAGGGCCGGGGATTTAGCTCAGTGGTTTCGCCGCCTGCTGCGCAAGTGCAAGGACCGGAGCTCGATCCCTGGTAACAAAAAATAAAAAATAAAAAAAATTTTAAAATAAAAATAAAAAACAGATTGTAAGTATTGGCAACCGTGTTAAAAACAGAAACTCATATATGTTTGCTGGGGGATTATAAAATTATACTAATGCTTTGGAAAACAATGTAGCAGTTCTTCAAAATGCTAAACATGAAAGTACCACCCAGAAATTCCATCTCAAGAGAAATGAAAATATATGTCCATGCAAAAACTCATACAAAATTTCCCTATGATAGCAGCATTATTCAGAATAGCCAAGGGCTGAGGATTTAGTTCAGTGGTACCACACCTGCCTCACAAGCACAAGGTCCTGAGTTCAATCCCCAGTACAGGAGAAAAAAAAAAAACAGAATAGCCAAAATGTCAAACACAAATGTTTATCAGCCAATAAGTAGATACACAAAATTTGACAAATCCATGCAATGAAATATTAACCATACTAAAGAATAAAAATGATTCACACTATAACTTAGATGAACCTTGAAAGCATTATGCTAAGCGCATGAAGGATATCATTTATACAAATCCATAACAGGCAAATCCAGAAAAACAGACAGTAGAATGACGATTTCCATCAGTTAAAGGAGAGAGCAATGAGGAGCCATGGTTAATGACTAAGAATTATTTTCCAAGTATTAACTTTTAAAGACTAATAAGGTGGGCATTTTGATCAACAGCAATATCTATGCTCTCAATTATCATACTTATTTCAGATATCAAATGTTTACCCAGATGACAATGGGTAATACACTATGTTAGAATGGAAGATGAAATATGGAAATCCTTTCTATCTGGCATATTATTTTATTTATTATTTCATTTTATTCTCACATGTGAACCTAAATTTATGTCTTACTATTATGTCTCTAAAGTCTCTTTCCTGTGTATAGTTTAGTAAAGGAAAAAAGTAACACATAATTGAGTAAATTATTGTCTTATGTTATTTGTGTATTATAAAATGTCAAAATACTAAAACTTAAGGGACCCACTCACATATTCTTTATCAAAGATACTATTTCTCCCTATCAGTGCAAAAAAAATTTACAAGATATTCATTTATTTTCAAAAGGAAACCAAGGGGAGTAAGAATGATCTTTGGTTTGCTCCCTTTATGTATGGCACAAAAGTATGCTCCACTTTCAGGGAAAGTTATAAACCTACATTATTACAGTCATTAAATCATTGACTTAAGGACAAGACTCGAATTGTAATGCATGGACAATTTCCATAATACTGTTAATACTTCAACTCAGCTCGTTGTTTTCTAAGAAAAAACATGTATAGCCATAACCTCCCCCACCCCTCACCCCCCTACCTCCCCATCCTGTCTGCCCCCTGTATTGGGGATTGAGCTCATGGCCATCCCCTGCCCTTTTTAAAAAAGTTTTATTTTGAGATAAGGACTTGCTAAGTCACTATGTTGCCCGGGCAGGGCTTCAACTTGAGATCTTTCTGCCTCAGCCTTCCAGAGTACTAGAATTACAAGCATTGCCACAATGCCTGCCTCCTTGATTATTTTAAGGAGAAGAAAATCTCCCAAAAAAGAGGATGTTGTTGGACTCATTGTGTCTGATGAAGAACAAGAAAGGGTGATTACAGTGAACATATTCACAGCCTGAGTCTAATGAGACAGTGAAGGCCATGCCAGTGGCTGCAGTGGCCTCCGTGCCGTCCTCAGTCACCTCCAGAAATGACCTGTGCAGGAACTTCTGGGCCTGCAACCTGGATTGCAGGCATGTTCCTAAGTAGTCTGCTTCACACTGGCTGAAAATGTCTTCCAACCCCATGGCCACCAGGACACGTTCCAGGTCATAACTGTCTTCCACTTCAAGCCGGGGCAAGTGCAGGCTCACATTCCTTGCTTCCATTTGCCTGGGGTTGGTCCACTCCACTAACTTCTCAGGAGTTAGTTTATCTATAATCTATTTTTTCAAAGAAAAAGAAGGCAGATTATCATTATTATCTATAAAAATTTAAATGTGCAATACTTGATTTATAGTAGTCATAAATTATTTTTAGTAATAAGTAAAATTTTATTTCACTACACTATTGCTTTTAGATAGTAGGCAGATGTTATTTCTATATTTAAATTACCTGTGTATATATGAAAACTCAATCACATGAAATGAATTTTATTTTTTTCCATCCCTCTTTAGTTTTTGTAGCCATGTATAATTTCCATCACATTGAATGTCTGTTATAAAATTTAACTTTGTCACAATACCATGTATCTCTCCTAAATACCTTCAAGCTTATAGACGCTATTCCCATCAAGTTTACAAATTTTAGCCAACATTCATCTATTTATTAACTTTACAGACATCTAGTATGTATCAGGTGCTATAATAGACGCTGCTAAATATTGCAGATACAGAAATATCAATTACTATGAATTTCAAGTCAGGTATTCTAGTGTATTCAATACTGAAATTACTGATTTGACTCCAAAAGACAGTTTTTGTCCTCTGCATTATTTCCTTAGGGTAATTCCCACACTTCAGGTTTCTGAATCAAAGTATAAATATCATTTTGCTGTCCCAAAATATTTCCCAACTTATAAGACTACTAGCCAAGTTTCACAGAACAGATTAAATCTAGTATTTTAATCATTTAGCAGCTGCCCTCTATTGATGTTTTCTATGTCCTCAACTTATTCTAGAATGCATTTCCCCCAATCTTACAATACTATATTTTAAACACCACAGAGCCCAATTTATAGCTGGGAAAATATTGAGATTCATGGAAGTTAAGAAGCTTCAAACATCAGAAAGCTACTGAAGGGGCAAAAATTTGAAATAAAGTCTCTCTGGTTTCTGTAGCCACTTTAATGTTGTAACTAAATAGTGGGTGGGTCTAAGTCAATTGCTTCAAGACTAAAGATCAAAGAAAAACTCAAAAGATCAAATAAAATTTCCTCCATATGTGCATATGTAAGTTTTTTCCAGAAAGAGTCCAAAGATATCGACCATTTCTTAGAACGTCCATATAATCTTAAATGTTCATTTTGGCTTATCCCAAAATTTTTGCGCACTCGTTATCCTCAATAAGCTTGATACCATTTAATGTTCCTCTTTAGACAGCTGGCTGTAGCTGGTGCACACTGACATACTTTCTATTTGACATGGTCAGGCAGCAGCTTCCTTTCAGATGCCCTGTTTCCAGGCTCACCCAGTGCAAGTGGTGGGACAGAACATCTTAGGAAATGAAAGCAAGAATAAGGAGTTGCAAGAGGCTTACCTTTTCCAGACCATCAATATCATTGGGCAGAAGCACAAACATGCTGAGGTCACTGTTTTTATAAGGGATCCCCACAATTTTAGCCTGCAAGTCCTCCAAAAAAACAAAGCTGAAGGAATTGTATTGTGCCATCATCAGTACAGATTTACTTGTACTCTGCAATGAATCAACAGAGCACACAATGTCAAAGACATAAGACAAAAGGCATGAGGCAAACAAGTTAGCTCACTGAAATAATTCAATGTAAAAGAAAATGCTAAAGGTTAGAGTTACAAAAAGAATATTTGCTATCTACCAGTGTATAATTGCTCCAATATGACTAGATTTTATATTGCATATGTGTTATGGCTTGTATCTAGATGTCCCCCTACCCCACCCCTGCAGTCATAGGTGGGGCTTTTTCAGAGGTGGCCAGAACTAGAGTGTGTGATGCTGGGATTGATTCATGGTGCAATGCTAGGATCAAGGGCACTAGGATTAAGGGTGTGAGTAGACATAAGGATAAGATATAAGGGATAAAAAGAGCTGAGGTTGACCTTTTCTTGCTTTGCTACCTTCTACCTGCTACAAACTGTTTCTTCTCTGTGATGTCTGTCTGTCTGTCATCCACCCTGCCTTGGAGCCAGCCAATTGTGGACTGAAACCTCTCCAAACTGTTAGCTAAATAAACCTTCCCTCCTTTAATTTTGGGTGTCAGGTATTTTGTCCCAGCAATGAGAAAAGTAACTAAGACAATGTATAAGCACATCACATGAATAAATGATCATACCTTATTCAGCCAAAATTCCTCCTCCTTGGTATTTTCTTTCTTAAACTCCCTATCCCACTTTCCTTTCAAATAAATTGCGTTTATCAGCACCAACTTGGTGGAGCTACTCAGAGAGTTTTCTGAAAATGGGTCCTTGATTTTTTCTGCAAACAGACAAAAAAGATTAACCCATCTTCCAAATGACAAATGATATGTGTGGCAGATATGATACAGATGAACTTGATGAATCATTAAAACTCAGCCAGATTAGCACCTGAAGTCTTTGCTGGCAAAGTGTTTGCAGGCAGAAGCAATGGGGGTTCTCACTTTGTCCACTGCCTATTCACCCCACTACATAAATTGAGGTTGCCAGTTATTCAGGCTCTGGAGCCAGATTGACTGTATGTGTCTAGCTTTCCCCCTGTCAGATGAAGAATCTATTTATTTTCTCTGTGCCTCAGTCTACAAATCTGTAAAATAGGAATAAAATCTGTGCTATAAACTGATGAAAGGAGTAAGTAGTATGTGTGAAACCTCAAAACACTATCTGGCACATCGTAAGAATTCAGTGTTAGCTGTTATTCTTACCAACGCAATAGAATTTCCACCTAAGATTTAGAGACAGGAGATTTAGGAAAAGGAGGTGATTTGGGGTTCTGGGATTAACCCACCCCACACTAAATTCTGAAAAATACTGTTCATTGAGCCTTTTGATAGACCCCTTATTTTTTGATTCTTTTAATTTTCTTTCTCTAGATAAAGGATGAAAAAACATACAGTCTCTATTAACAGAGACTTCTCTGATAACTAGAATAAAAATGTTAACTATTGGCTGTTGCTTCTCATGGTCTATTTCCACATTAACATTTCTCTCCAGCATATCATATACGTTTGGCTCATGCTCAGAAATGAGAAGGGGAGAATGAGGTCAGGAATTAATCAAATTCTTTGCTGTACATGGAGGTAAAAGTTGTGTCAAGCCTGCATAATGTGCAAATGGAGACAATGTTCAGGTGGCCCCAACTGTAGGCAGCAGAGACAGGTCTTGAAGAGAGAACTCACTTAACAAAGAGAAAGTAACCCTCTAGACATTTGCACTTATGGACTCAGGCTCAGAAATAAAGGCTTTGATATAAAGGAAATGATAAACTGAAGATAACCATGAGCTCAGTTTGTGGAACACCAAAGATATCATAATCCATAGGCAAACAATTCCCCCCTATCATTTCCCTATAGCTGGATTTTTGTGGTCCCCTCCCTGTTTCTCCTTAAATCTTTATATTTGCTGTGACTGTTCCACCATCTGCAGTGCCTTCCCATACCCTTCTTGCCCAGCTCTGCCTTTTCATCCCTGCAAAACCCATCCTAGGCTCTTTCCCAAAGCTGGTCTACCTGGCACTCATGTAGCGTCAAGCCCCAGAAGCTGGTCAAGAAGTGTCTGTGTGATGAATGACCCACCCATACTCTACCATTTGTTTGGCTTTCAACCCAAGCATTAATCTTCTTTCGACTTTGTTCAGCTGCATTTATAAAATCAACAGGTTCCAGAGATGCATGGTAATATTTCTCAATATAATCTAAATATTTCTTTAGGAGAAACAGGAAAGAAATACAAAGAGGTTTTAAAGTCAATTTTTCAATTGCTAGCATCTCTAAATAAAATTTTCTGTTCATTGGGACAACTAATGTCAAAAGAAGAATTTTTTTAGACCCTGGAAAAGTCACTTTGAGTACCTCCAGGTATAATTTTATGAAGGTTCAATGGGATTAAGGCTAAATTCAGGTTTACATTACCAGGACTGAAAAAAAAGTTGAATATCTGATGAGCAGGCCAGAAAGATCACCAGTGATGTCAACAGAACCAGGCAGCTAACTTTGGAAAATGCCCCCAGCACCCCTCTCCAGACAAGATAATTTGGCCACTCATGACTGCCACTCACAGATGTGCTGGACATAGCAAAACTTACTTGAAGAAAGAGGTATGTTTTTTCTCCAAACAGTCTGTTGGCTATGTACAATTCATAATCATCAGGGAGTTTTCTTATTTCAGTCAAAAACTTCTGGAATTGCTGATGTATCTCTTCTGTCTTCTCACTCTTCAAAATCAAGACCAAAATTCAGTGGGTTATCTTGACAAAACCAAGACTAAATTCTCCTCCAAGAGAATGTGGCCACTGGGTTTTCCCTCACTTGGATGCCATTGAGGGCAGTCTATGGGTTCTGTGTGACCCCTGGATGTTAGTTGGCTTTTATGAAAATCATATAATCATGTTGTAAGTCATGACAAATCTCAGCTCCACCGAGAGGCCTTCTCCACTAGCCCAACATCACAGATTTTTCTTTCCTGACTCAAGTTGTGCTTTTGCTTTCAAACATAATTGCAGACTACATGTTTCACGCATTTCTTTTTATCTACCCAGACACTCTAAGCACTCAAGTAGATGAGTCCTCAGATACTTTTTGTCCACTAAAGTTTAGAAATTTCTGTTCTAGACAGTGAATAAGAAAAGTAACTCATAATGGAGTAAGTTGAGTCACACATTCAACTGAAATAAGATTTATCACTGTCCTGGTGTAGGATGGGTACTTTTCTGGATATTCCTATAGGACTCATCAGTGTTCTAATTCAGGGCTGAGGTGTGTTCCATGGCAGAGCCAGCTGACTCAGAATGCTTCCCTGGGGCACAGTGAAACATTGTTCCATTGCCTGTTGAGCTCTGTCTGGTTTCATTCAGAGAATGCAAAAAAGAGGCATTTTAGTTTTGAAGTAAATGAACTGTTTCTGTTTGTATCTGACATAGAAAGGCCATCTTCCTCAACAATATGAGGCCCATAGGTTGGCTGGTTCATTCCATTGTTTTGACTCTTTATTTCTTCTCTAGTTGTTCAATGCCTAGACTAACAACTGGCAAATAATAGACACTCAGTTCATTTTTATGAAAAATCGATGAATATTTGACGACATTCATGTTAAAAATGTAAAAATGTGACTGATGTTCTATCAGAATCTCTGAGGCTGAATTTTACCTTCAGCTACCTCCTGACTACTAGGACCCTGTAAAAGGTTGATAATCATTTTTTGACCTCTCAGGTTAACTGAGATGTGCTACAAGCAGATCAATATACTGGAGCTTTTGAGAAGAAAAGATTGATGTAGCTATTATTTCTCCAATGAGCAACTGTACCTGAGTTCACTTGTAAATTGGGGAAAGGGGGAAAATCTGCTGTTAAACATGTTTTGGGGTTTAAATTTATACTACTTCTGCAGTTTAGGAAACCTCAAACTAAGAAGTAAATTAAAATTGGTTTGGATTGGTAACATCCCAAGATTTTATTCCAGGAAAAAAAAAAAAACTGTATTAGAAAGGTAACCATATCACAGGTTTCACAGACTTCCATATTATTAGGCAAATATGAGCTCATATTCCAAAATTACAAATTATGAATAAACCAAAGAACTATTGAAAATATGTTTAAGAAACATTTCAAGTTGCTTCAATAATCAACTATAAATCCCAGAAATAAATATTAACAAATACTGAAATTAAAAGCTTAATAGATGGTTAAACAACCTATTAAACACTATTAAATTAGTGACTTAACAACTGAGTTAAATAATTTTCTGAGAATGTAGCACAAAAGCAAAAGATGAGAAATATGCATTACATTAAGAAATCTAAACAATAAAATAAGAATTCTAGCATTCTTCTAAAGGCAAGAAAGGAAAGACTGGAGGACATGAACTATTCAAAACAGTAGGTGTCTGAGAATTTTCTGGAATTGATGAAAAGTATGAATGTTCATGCGTAGAAATCACGATAAGTCAAACTCATGGTAAATGAAAAAATCCACACCTAGATACATTGTAGTTAAATTCAAGAACAATAAAAACAAACACCATAACTGTAATACAACCCAAATTGAATATAACCCAACCAGCTTGAAACTGTGCTCGGTAGGCTTTAACTATTTTTGAATTGGCTTATAATTCAGTTCTTGATTAAAATTGTGAGTCAATCCAAGGCCTAAATGACTTGCTAGAAGAGACTTCGGCTGGCATACAAAAGCAGAATTCCCTATACCAATGGTTACAATTGAGATCTCAGTGATCGATGAGATCGTGACATCTCTAATAGCAAGATGACACTACAGCTGAGGATTTATGACTCTGCAGTCATTCTCCCAGATCAAACATTCACTAAAGATAATACAGGTGGCTTGTTAACTATGACCTGTCCTTCACAAGAATACATCGTTCCTCTCTTTTCCAAGCCTGGATCCTTAGTGCCTTAGTCCTGCTGTTCCCTACATCTGTCTTTATTCCCCTTGCTATGTTGTGTAATCAATAAATACTGATAAGTCTAAGGCTTGTGGTCTTAGCCAGGAGAGAGCTAAGATCAGATCCTGGGCCCCCATAGTAATAAACTATCATTTGTTCTTATTTCTTTATTCTTTGTTCTTTGTCTATTATTCTTGCATCTTCAGCTGTACCCTCAATCAGAAGGTCAGGCAGCCCCTGATAACTTATCAATGATGCCAATTAAGCATCATTATCAACAAGAAACATTAGAAAAAAGAAAATTGAATCGTATCTTCAAAGGACTTAAAAAAATATATCAACCTGGAATTCAACATGCAGCTAAACATTGCTTCAAAAATAAACAGAAGCAAACACAACTTGACAGCACCTACTATACGTAAATCCTTACAAAAGAAACTTCCAAGAAGTATCAGTAATGTGGAAGGGTAGAAAACTCAAGACCTCCTTTACTCACAAAGACACCAACTTAACAAGAAGGCAAAAACAAAAATTACTTTCTAGAAATCTATGTCAATCAAAAAGTTCCTGTATCTCCAGACAAGTATACAGCCAACTGCACTGAAACCTAGTAGAAAAATTCTTGACACTGACTCACCTAAGTCCCATCCCACAATACTGCACTGTGAAAATGGGAGAAAATACCTGACTCTTCCTTGAGTGTAGAAACAGAAGATAGGAACATATATCCAACATTCTGACCTTCAAGGGCACTATCTGAGAGAGTGGTCTCTGTATTTTCTGAATTTAAATTCTGAAGGGAACAGGATATATTAGAACCCCTGAGAATAAAAGTGATCCATGTGCATCAAAGGCTGCAGTAGTACAGAAGAACCCGGGAAGAACTCCTAAGGAAAAAGCAACAAACCTCTTCAATTGGTATACTACAAGCACAAGCCCCAAGAAAACATAACCCCAGCTGCCAAGGTTTGAGGGGTCTCCAAAGTCTCCATCTGGACTGATTAGAGAAAATTCTGCCTATACTAAAGCAGACCACAGGCAAGGTGGACAATTTTTTTGAATGACAAAGAGCACCAGAAGATAAGAAGGAATGCAAATAAACAAAGGAATCTAACCCAACCAAAGGAACAAATTTAATCTACAGAAACTGACCTTAAAGAAGTAGAGATATATAAATTAACAGACAAAATATTCTAAATAACTATCATAATAACATTCAGTAAATTCAAATAGCAAAAATAAACAAAAATAAACAAAATTATAATATTAACAGAGAAATGATGAAGAATAATAACCAGATTCTGGAACATAATTCAAAAAATTCACTAGAGAAAATCAACAGGCTGATCTGACTAGTTAGAAGAAAGAATCTGTGAACTGAAAGTCAAGACATTTAAAGTTATGAAAGCACAGGATCAAAAAGAAAACAAAAGAGTGAAGAAAGTAAAGAGAGCCTAAGGGACTTAAAAACATTTTAAATGGAACAACATATACATTATAAAAGCCTCAGAAGAAATAAAAGAGGAAAATAAAGAAAGCCTATTGAAGAAATGACTGTAAATGTCATAAAAGAGAGGAAACAGTTGGAAATACAAATTTAAACCTCAAAGAGCTTCAAAAGCTAAAAAGATGTCCACCGTAATGACATAAACTGTCAAAAGTCACAAAGTGAATTTTTAAAGCAGCAGGAGAAAAGCATCTTGCAACATACAAAACAGTTCCTATTAGATCATGAGAGGGTTTCTCAGTAGAACCTTAAAGACTAGGAGGGAATGGGATGATATATTCAATATATTGAAAGAAAAATCACCATCCAAGAATACCATATCCATTAAAACTGTCCTTGAAAAATAAAGACACTTTGTCACTATATTTCCCCTACACAAAATGTAAATACAGTCTTTCAAGTTGAAATGAAAGAGTGATAAACAGTAACCCAAAACTGTACAAAAATACAAAACTTATTGGGAAAAGTAAGTATATAGCTAAATATTATCATAATACAGCTGAATAAATCAATTGTAATCTTGTATGGAAGTTTTTAAAGTATAAAAGCAATCATGAATCTATGTTAATAAATATGCAATATAAAAAAGAATAATTCTCCCATCAATACCACAAAAGAAGAGCAGAGATGAAAAGAAATAAAAAAGATGTGCCATGTACAGGATTCTAATAACTCCAATCAACGTAAACATTATATGACACAACATTAGCTAAGACAAATAATATTAACAAGTATGAAAAAGGTGATAAAGGAACCAGAGGAGAAGAGGGGAAGGGAGGAGAGGAAAGAGGAAATGAATTGGGGGAAAAAAGCTATAATATATGTATGTAACCACTCCCCAAGATGACTGTAAGCTGCATGAATTGCAAATATGTATTTAAGCTGCAAAAATAAATGCAAAATGAGAAGACAAGGAAGCAAGATGCAATGCCAGACTTCCAGTTTGACAAAGGCAAACTCAGGGGGCAATGAGGCAGAATAAATTGAAAGCCACCCACCAGGACTCTGAAGTGCTAATAGCAGAAGTAACAAAGCAAATAAATGAGGCTCTAGAAAAAAATAAAAACAGAAATAATTTCTCAGAAAGCTTCAGAGATGATGGCCATAATGAAGGGTGTGATTAATGAATCTAGGGAAGATACAAATAAAAAAATAGAGGAGCTTAGGAAAATGATGCAAATCAATGTAGGAAAGAAATGGATTCCATGAAACAGATTCAATCAAATATCCAGGAGATTGAAAATTTTATTGAAAGTAGCTACCACCTGCCTCACTAGCGCAAGGTCCTGAGTTCAATCCCTAGTACCAAAAAAAAAAAAATTTTGATTGAAAATATATGCAACAACATTATACAATGTGAGGACAGAATTCCATATCTAGAAGGCAGGATTGCAGTTAGCCATCACAAAAAGAAGGATTTCTTAAAAATAACAAGGGACCACAAATACTCAATCCAATAGCTGCTAAATGCAAGGAAGAATAACATAAGACTGATCAGAGTCAATGAAATGCAGAGATAGCACAAGCAACATACAAAAAACCTGTTCACAGAAGTAATGGCAGAAAATTTGCCAAGCATGGAAAAAGAATTTGACATAAAGATAAAGGAAGCATATAGAATTCCAATTAGCTATGATCAAAAATACTAACCCCAAGGCATATAATAGTCAGAATTCCAGAAATTCAACATGAGAACAAAATATTAAATGCTATTAGAGAAAATAAACAAATCACATATATAAAAGACAGCCCATCTGAATTACAGCAGACTTCTCAACACAAACCCTTAAGTCAAGGAGAGCTTAGAGTGAAATATTTAAAACTCTAAAAGAAAAGAACCTCCAACCCAGATTGATGTACCCTGCAAAGCTATCTTTCAAAATTGATAGAGAAATGAGATATTTTCATGACAAAGACCACCTGAAGAAATCCATGACCACCAAACCAGCACTCCAAAATGTTCTAAAGGACATTCCAGAAAGAGATAGGGAAGACTACAACTCCATAAACCCAAACAGAATGAATCTACCAGGCAAAACAAGTAATTAAACAGAAGAAAAATAAGGGGAACAAACAACAGGAAAATAATGTGACAAAGATAAGTCAATAAATGTCAGTATGACCATAAATGTAAGCAGTCTCAATTCACCAATCAAAAAAAAAAAAAAAAA